AAATCATCTCATCATCAATTATTAATATTCTACAGTATTTTTGTTTGTCTAGAGACATCTTTTTACCTCGATAGCGCTCATTAAAGATCAAGTGACAGCAAGTTTCTTCGATATACCAGCACCCTCCTCAGTATTCTGATTTTATCGTTGTTTTTTGAACAGTCTCAATTCTTCATCAGATGACCAATTCATTTTTTTTATTTTGCAAGAACCAATTGAAAGCTTTGCACAACACTTGGATAATGAAAGGTGCATTAGTCACAAACATTACAATACTTACCTGCAAGTTATAGTTGTTAACAGAACTAACATTACTTTTTAAAAATAGTTCAGCTATATTACTTTGTTTTATTTTGGTGACCGATAACATTTGCTAGGGTCTCTTCTCATTCTCAAGTTCACGAAAGGAAAGATTAAACAAAACCCCCTTAAAGGCTTTAAAATAAATGTTTGCTTTCGCAAGATCAAGCTGTCAATCTCATATATTGGAAAAATGACTTAGTTATTCGCGCTGACTGATAAATTTGTATAACATTTTTTATGCATTATTTGCGAATCAACTGGACACGTGTGTGACTGGTGCGTAAATAAATTATTTTTTATTTTGTATACGATAAAAAAAAACATCTGAGTTGCTACACACAACAAAGAATAGTGTATTGTTTATTTCACTAAAGAAATGCATTTATTTTCTTTTTCAGGCTAGCGTAGTTTTCCATTCATAAAATTTGCAATCGAATAAAGAAAACTTTTTTTTAACAACAATCGATGTGAAATACTTTCGTTTCAGTGAGAATGAAATTTTGAACAATAACTTATTGCTTCTCTTCCATGAAACGAAACCCCGTCCCTGTACTGGTTGCTTTATTTATTTATTTATAAATCTTAGTAGTGGGTAAACTGGAGTGTCAGTTTTATTTCAATTTACTTATTAAAAACTATAAGTTTGGATTGTGTAGTTTGTTAATTGGTCTACTTTAAGTTTTAAGACTTTTTTTGTAGGGGTGGGGTTACGAAGGGTATCACTTTTTAAAACGAGTTGTATTCTTTCTGCAGTGCTAAAAAGGCCTAAGGTCTGACTGTCTTAATTTTTTTTTCAGCTCTTTTATGATCTGTTTCCGATGTGTGTATTTAGGTTAAACACTCATAGAACTATTGATAAATAAGTAATGGACAGAGGTGCATATAGATTCGTTGCAAACCTCTCATATTTGTTTATGCCTCCCCCACTCCAAAGAAAAACAAACAACAAACTTTTCCAAAAAGGATTCACATATTTGTACGCAAACTACTTTACATTTCTCTAGAGACGTGTTATCAGTATAAATAATTTATTTTTTTAAGTTATTTTGTTGGTGCAAGTGAGTATTGAATTCGTTCCAGTATAATGGTAACTAGAATTGGTCTAGCTCGTTAACCATTACACCACGACAAGCATGCATACGTTTTGATTCGATTTAGAAAGATTTTCGATGTTGCAAATACTGGATGCCTCAAAAAAAAAAAAATAACGAAATCAAATTTGTGTGTCTAAATCAAAAGAATGAATACATTTTTTTTTTTTACGAATAGAGTTTCTAAAGTTTTAATTGAAGATTTAAAAAGTAGAAAATCATTTATCAAGATCTTCCCCGACTGAAACAAAATTTGAGTACGTGTTTGAGAAAATGTTGTAAGGTAACTATCAGTTTGTTTAGTAATTGGATTTTTATTTATTCTAAAGAAAGACTCAATCCCGTAGAAGTACATTTTACAAGGATTTCCTCGCGAGTTTTAAAAAAAAAGTTGGGGACTTCTGTTGTTAGGACTTTCATGAAAAAAAGTGAAGACAATGAATTGCTTTAACAAACAAGTTTTTTACACTACACTACACCAACCCAGTCAAGGAAATCTCGAATAATGTATCTTATTAAAATGGTCTTTAATGGTCTACTGAGCTTCGCTTTTTATATAGACTTGTCAGGAAAATTACCTTAGATTTTTTTTGTCTTTGTGTAAAAAAAAAAAAAAGCATTGAATATCTCTCTTCGACTTTTAGAGAAAAAAAGGTACTGGTATCGTCTGTGTATGTCTGCACATTTTCGTAAAAGCACGTGAGCTCGGTATCCTTTTTTTTTTTTTTTTCCCTCACTCGCTTATTTACTAACCATAGCTTAGTTTGGTACAAGGCCATAAGGATGATTAGATTTTCCGCACGACTAGAGACTTAATTGACCTTTTAGGCTATCTTGGGCTCAAATACATCAGAAACAAAGGAATAATGTTTTCTTAGAGACGAAGATGCGGAGAGTTATGATCACCATGTCCTGAAAGAATATGGATCATTTCTCTCATAGTCTCATATATATATATATATATATATATATATATATATTGTTTGAATAAAAACAGACCACTTTAAGGTTCCATGTAATAAGTTATTTCACCACAACCCTTTAAAAGGGCTCTGGATCATCAGACTTTACTTCCAAAAGTTGAAATGAAAAATGACATTTTTCATTTCAACTTTTGGAAGTAAAGGAAGTAACATACAAAATGTCATTTTTCATTTCAACTTTTGGAAGTAAAGTCTGATGATCCAGAGCCCTTTAAAAGGCTTGTGGTGAAATAACTTATTACATGGAACCTTAAAGTGGTCTGTTTTTATTCAAACATATTTGCTCTGAATTTACATTGAGCTCTCAGGATATCATCCTCCTTGGGTCTACCCTTATGTATTACCTTGTTTTGCATAAACTATATATATATACACACACACACACACACACATTATATATATATAATAGAGAACTAGGCTAGTTAGATAACCAACTCGCATCGGTAAACATCCTCCCCACACACACACACACTCACTTTAGGTGTGTATATATGCGGGTTTGTTGTTTTTATTTTATTTTTTTTTCAAAGCAAAATTTTATAACCCTATGCAAAAACCCAAGCTTGTCAGTGTGTAAAAACTTTCTTTTTTAGATTTTTAGCAGTAGTAAAGTAAAGACTTACTTTATAAATAAAAAGAGGACAATTTATTTAAATTTAATTTAAATAATTCCTTTTCTTAAGCAAGAAACAAATATGCTCTTCTGTAAGCATCTTTGTGTTGGGGTGACATCACTACTCATCATCCAAGGATAAGGTTACCTTTCTTTATAAGGCATCTTCTTGTTCTGACCCCGTAAACGTAAAAAATATAAGATGTTGGACAAAGAATAATGAATGTATCTTGTATTTTTTAAAAAATTCATTTTTAAAACTAAAATACCGTTATTTCTGGTGTGCATAAGTTTATTTTTTTAATTGTTTTTCTCTTTATGTTGTAAAATCTTTTTTTTTTCTCTTTTATTTTCTTTTCGGTTAGCGTTAAAATTAATGTATAGTAATAACTCCACCTTTTTTTTTATCTCTCAAAAACTCTCCCAGTTCTTATATGCGAAGATGGGGTAGTTTACCTAGCCACCCATCTAACCAGACTCCATATTTACCGCACGCCCACTCATACGTAATAAGGCACAAGACTGGGTTTAAAATGGGAATCCAATAAGTACATGGGATTAGGGACAAAAATGGATCAGTTCCATAAGCATTTCCTTATTGGGACGACTCCGGGGCTACCGGTTGACCTTAACCTTCTCCATTTTAATAAAAAGGGAAAGGTGCAATATAAAATGTAAATATGGTGGGGGTCTTAATGACATCAAATACGGGATTTATTTCTCTATTCATATCAAAATAATAATAAAAAAACTTTACGATCTCTTTTTAGAGTTTTACATTTCTACGCAAAAACTGTACTTAAAATCTGTGCTTAATTTGTTTACTTTTAGAACCAATTGTTAAAATCATTTTAAAGTTAGAAACATTTCTTTTGAATTTTAAAAAATTTCATGACCAAATCACAATCTCCTTATACGTCCGATATTCAAATTCTTTTCTCCATTGATCTTTAATTCTGTTTTTAAAATTTTGACTTTAAGGTAGTTTTAATTTTTTTTTTTTTTTTTTTGTATGAGTCAAACTTACAAAAATTTCAAACAACGCGTAATTGCAATATAAAACCATTTCTCAAAATTAACTTAGATTGTTTCTTGGAAGTCAAAATTCTATCATGATTTTTGAAAAAATTAATAACTTTATTCTTTATAAGCCATTTAAGGCCAAAACCACAGTTTAAAATAAGTTTTCCCATTAACCATCTATTTAGGAAAGCCTTATCTGCTTTAAAACAGAAAAAATCTTTCAAAAGATTCTGGGCTCTTAACCCGGGCTCGAGCTCCGGCTACCGACGTTTCTGCCCTTCTTGTAAAATGAAGGAAGTTAAAGCAAAAATTGATAAATTGTTCAGAAACGTATCCATGAGCTTAGCATATATACGCACTCCTACAGAAATTCGCATTAACTAAAAATATTTAGAAAAGTTCTCTACCAGACCCACTTCCCAAAACCTGGTCAAATGATCAAACATATTTTAAAAGAGGTTTTTTTTTTTTTTTTTTTTTTTTATGCGGGCTGAGAACGTTTCAGTATTCCCTCTTAAACAGAAAATATTCACACGGTGTCTTGCACACACACACACACACACACACACACAAACGCGCGCGCGCCTATTTCTCCAAGCCAAAGTTCTCAGAGAGGGTTATCAATATTGTCAAAAGATAACACCTTAATTAGAATCGGGGAAACGAATAGAAGAAAGTCGTATCCGTAATTTTTACATGGTGATTCATTCGTTTTTGTTTTGTTTTTGTTTTTTGGGGGTTTTTTTACGGCTTATCAACCGTATTCATTAAAACTAGAAAATATTTGGGATTGTATTTATTTATTTATTGTAGATAATTATTTAGTAATACAAGTGTTACTAATTAACCCATAGCTGGAGGGAAGCTGGATTCATACCTTTTCCCAAGGGTATTGACGCATAAGTGAATATAATAAACTCAACCGGAATTGGAATACGGCTTTCCGATTAACAATTCTGATTCCATTACACCGCCCACATATCCAAGCTTACAGCACTTGGTATTCCCAAGCAGTCACCCATCAAGTTACTGACCAGGTTCGACGTTACTTAACTTCAGTGATCGTACGGAAACCGGTGTTTCAATGTGATGTGTCCGTAAGCTTTTTACATGAGGCGAGCACAGAGAAGTATTTCGACTGAAAATTAAACGTTTTAGAATCCTCTAAACACGCACTCACAACAGTAGGTTTGACACAAGGTCACGACGTGGAGCTCCACAAGCGTATTTGCGGGTGGTTCAATAAAATACTGTTCCCTCGGCACTTCCCTTTTTGGGATGTGTCATGCACGAAGGAGTGTCTCTTCCCACATTAAGTACAAAGGAGAAGGCATAGATAATCTGTGGACACCCCTGCCCTGCGCCGCCATCACCAATGGAACTGTACTTTGGTTAATTTCCGCTTCGGGGCAAAAGTGCACGAGAAGAGGTCATCAAGATTAAAGAAATTCAAAGAAACATTTCGTGATAAAACTAGTGACAGAGAGCTGTATCAAAATTGCCATCTTCTTCTTTGTGTGACGCGTCCCCTCGGGACGAAGTCGATCGTGGCTTTCTTCAATTTCCCGTCCTTTGTAGCTTTTGATGAATTTTGTTTTTTTGTTATTTCTCCTAAACCCTCTTCCGCCAGTCATTCACTCAAGCTCACCAAGTAGTTTATGCGTTGTTTTCTTTTGTCCCTCTTGCGTTTAATCTATACTGTGAGTATCACATTTTCCAAGCCCTCTTTCCTCATTATGTGCCCCAGAAATTTCAACTATCTCTTTCTGATGTTAAATGTTCTTTTTGTTTCCATTTTCTCTAAAACTTCGTCATTGTTCACATGTTCGGTCGATTTTATTCTCAGCATCCTTCTGTAGAACCACATTTCTATTGCTTCAAGTCTCTTCATCTTTGAGGAGGTTGTCCAGCATTCACTGTCATTAGAAAGACAGATATCGCATAACAGTTCAGTCAAAGATTAAGAAAAAGAGATAATAAAAATAGGTGGTTATCACTTTTTTCCTTTGGCAACATTTAAGAAAAATTCCACCTTCTCCTTTCCAAAATGTTAAATTTAAAGGCCGTTGTGTATCTTTAAAAAAATTCGAATTTAAAAAGAAAAAAAAAATTAAATCGGTATCACCCCACGCAAGGCAGTAAAGCCACTAAGTCACAAGGGGTGTGAAAGAATTAGGAACAGAAACATTAATAATGAGGGGGAATACTGACTTACATTTAAATTTTGCTGATTAAACTTTGTTGGAAAGCATGGAACCGGAAGGGATGTTCCAAAATAGAAAAGTACAAGAAAAGAAACTGTTATCTAATATTTACGGTTGTACATCTCGCCAACTCAAGTGTAAATTGATGAGATCTTGATGCCAATCTAGTATTGAGCTTAAATTTTTAAAAAGTCTAGGTACTATAGCGAAATGGGGCGAATTTGACAAGGCGAACCAATTAAATCTAGTACGGATTATACCGTTACTTTTTCCAAGAAGTACCAACAGCAGACAGTGACAACAAGGTGTTAGGGTAATTCTATAGTTAAATTCCTCGAAGTTTACGGTCGCATCAACTATTTTTCTGTTGATATTTACAGATGAACATAAAACGGAGAATCATTTTTGTTCATTATTTAAAATAAAAATGTTAAAACAAACAACAATGTGAATTGTAAAATTTTCATTAACACATTAGCAATCATAGATTTTATATCTATAAAATTATTAATTAATTTAATTAATTAATTAAAGTATTTTCATGATTCCAATTTGTTACCATCATTTTTAACTTAAATTGATTGATTCATTCATCTTCTACGGCTTATCAACTCTTTGCACCCAGAATTTTTCGGATTGAGGAATCGGAGAGCCGAGTTCGAATTCCAGTCGAATCCATTACATTCACTTACGTGCTAATACCCTTGGGAAAGGTATGAATCCTCTTCTTTTCCCTCCAGCTATGGGTAAATAACAGGACAGACTAGGATGGCAACTGGTCTACCGCAGAAAGAAATGGTAACCTGCTGCGAGAAAAAAATCTGCCTCGTCAGTTATGTATCGAAAGATACATGATCGCCTAAGCGTGTGGCACATAACTGGCTGAAGAATTTTTAAGACAGTAATGATTTAGTGATACACGTCTTGTTAATTAACCCATAGACGGGGGTGAAGAGGTGGATTCATACCTTTCTTAAGGAGTATTTGCGCGTAAGTGATTATAACAAACCCAACTGGAATTGGAACACGGCTCTCCGATTAACAATTTCGAGCCATTATCCATTAAACCATCCGCATATCCAAGCTTAGAGCACCTGATATTCCCAAGCGATCATCCATCTAGGTAGTGACCAGACTCGACATTGTTTAACTTCGATTATTGTATGAGAATCGGTGTGTCAACCTGAAGTGGCCGTATGCCCCTAACTTAAAGAAATGAAGAGAATAAAAGTCTTTAAATACATGGTTTCGACAAGTATATTCTTCGGACTTCACCAGGTTTGTGTTGCATCTGGTGGTCTTTAAGAAGCTATTGACATACACGAGGAATGCCAAAATATATAACGTTCGAAATATTGTGTTAAAAATAGCCCGAAAAATAAGTGACGTTATTATTATAGATGCGTGTGTTTTGTTTGTTTTGTTTTTTTTAATTGATACTAATATAGATAATGGACTTGTATTGAAGTAACTTAAAACTATTTGTTTTTTTGTTTGTTGTTTTTTTAGTTTTTTTTTTTGTTGTTTTTTTGGGGGGGTGATTTTGTTTTGTTTTTTTGTTTTTGTTTTTTCTTGGTTTTGTTTTTTTTTGTTTTTTGTTTTTTTTGTTTTTTGGGGGTTTTTTTTGTTTGTTTTTTTTTTTTTTTTTTTTTTTTACAAATAAGGAGGAAATACAGTTAATTCGGTAATATTTCGATTGTTCACATTATGAATAGAATTACCATTTTCCAAAACTATAAATTACTATATTTATATGGTCTAATGCCCCTGCTATTTTCCTTGAGCTCCTTGATGAAATCCAAAAAATCAGCAATATTATTTCTTCTGATCTGGCAACTCAATCAAGTTCCCAGCGCCGTAATATTGCCTTTCTGTCTTTTCTATAAAAACTTTCATAGTAATTGTTCGGATGAAATTTTGGTTATGGTACCTAGACTTTTTGAATTTGATGTCTTTAATTTACAGTTGAGATGATTAGATATAACCGTAAATTCTCTACTAATAGTTTCTTTTCTCGCACTTCTCGCTTGTGGAATTCCGTTCCGGCTTCATACTTTCCAGTCAACTTTAATCTGCAAAAATTTAAATGCATTGTCAATCGATATCTACTATCCTCTTGATTACTCCTTCCTCTTCCTGCAGGTTATTAACGTTCCTGTTTCTAATTGTTACACATCTTGTAACACTTTGTGTCTTAGTGGCTTTATTGCCTTGCATGGTGAGATGCCGATTAAAAAATCCATTTTTTTTTTTTTAAATTCATTCTCTAACGGACCAAAAAAAGTTACCTAATGCAAATAATAGAACAATTTCAGATTAGGTTATGTCACGGAATAACGTTCTTAAATTTCGACTTAAGATGACGTCAAAAATTAACGATTTGTTTTTTTATATAATTTATTTTAACATAGATATAAAAAAAAAAGTTATGTTGATTTATCTTAGCCCTGAAGCGTGGACATGTATCTTCGAAACTTTGAGTCGACAGATAAGGCTTTGAACTTTCTATTCATTTATTTACTAAGAATGTACCTGCCCATCATAAATGTTAATATTTCAATGTTTATTCACATCATCATCAGAACTTCATGAAGACATAAATAATATATAGAAATAAAATAAAAATGTACCTGTTCATTATAAATTTTAATATTTCAATGTTTATTCACACCATCTGCGGCACATCATATTCACCAAGTAAGACTTTACACAAAATCATCAATATTTTCGTAATTTTCTTTATAATTAAAAGTATTCTCTTAGTTTCTTTCTGTGTATGTAAAACTTCATGACAGACTAAATTCATAATACCAATTTGAAACATTAAAATATAATGTGCTAATATTAAGATTTAAAAGTGTCTCCTAAATAAAACGGACATTTTTGAGTAGTTCGTCACTGGGTGCTCTATACATGTAGCCTTGTGCCAAACTTAGTAAATAACGAATTTTTTTAAGTTGAGCTCTAGCTATAAAAAAACTTGTATATTATTCTTAACAGAACGGTTTTTCTATGTCGTTGACGCAGGTTGTAAACAAACATTTTCCTTTTTTTTTCTGGAGAGTTTGATGACCGAGAATTCCTTAATGAAACAACAGAGCCCCACTCCCTCGTCTAGAGTCGCGAACAAGTTTCAAAAAGCCTAAATTTTCCGAAAAGATTGATTTGGCAGGTGGCCATGGAAATTCACCTGACCCCAATCCAACCGAGAATCTTGGAGACACCATGAAAGAAAGTGTAGAAAATGTCCACTTGGATTTATTGCAAAAAAATAGCAGAATTCTCAAATATATTTGATGCAATTGCTGAAGTTTTAGTAAAATAATAAAAAAAAAAAAAATCTCTAGAAACCTCCGTCGCTCATGTAAAATTTAGGTTGGACTTCGTGTAGGTTTTCTGGTGATAAATAAAAAATAAACTGATAGTAAGCTGATTTAATGTTCAGTGTTTGATTGCAGACATCTGTTAATATTTTGTATGAATGGTGTACAGTCGGATTAACGTTTCTTTAACAGCACAACAAATTGAATCAGTCAAAAAATTTCAATCTAATACGTTGAGTTGAGTCTCTTTTTCGTACAAATCCCCCTTGACAAAGATATGATTCTATCTATTCTTATCATCCCCAGCTACGAGTAAAATAGCAGGTTTAAACTGTGCAATAGAGCTTTGGGCAGTAAGTAATCTAAAAGAAAAACTTTTGAATTCCAAACCATGGAAAATACAACGGGAAACCACTACTTATCTTTCTCAGGAAGGCATGGCAATTAAAATAAAAGGAAGTCCTGGATAGTCATGATCGCCTACATCCAGAAGGAGATTATATATATATATATATATATATATATATATATATATATATATATATATATATATATATATCATCTTGACAAT